TATAAAAAAAGATTTCTCAGAAAGTCCTCTGGGATTGAGAGCCAGTTATCTGCATCCTCTTTTTACTTTTAAATTTTAAACTTTGTCTCCTCCATTTAGTGCCCATCTTCTACACTTTCCTGGGATTACATTCTTCTCAAAATTGCCTGTGTATAAGCCTGTTTTGAGGCTCTGCTTTTAGGGAACCCAGGCTAAGGTCAAGAATAGGAGCAAGAAAGGAACATTTGGGGAACAAGATGAAGCTCTTGGGCATATTTTTAAGTAGTATAACATGGAATATTTAATGAAGGAATGGATGAGAAAGTTGAGAGGATTCCCAGAAAGTAGGAAAAAAAAGACAAATAGATGGATAAGAAAAGGTAAAATTAGAGGATCACTCTCTGTCCAGTAGGTAATTCACTCTCTGACCAGTTCCAGAAGAGGAAGAAAAAGAAAATGTAGGGGAGACAATTATAAAAATTTTTTTTGAAGATTATGTAGATCATAAGAATATGAGTTCCCAGATTGAAGCCCCCATTGGGTATTTAGCAAGTTCAGTAGTGGCTATCTTCTTAAGGCCAGGACTTATGGTAGGAAATGGTGTTATAGATCTGGGTGCCCTAATAAAAATGGGGATGATGGATCCTGAAATAATAGATACCAGCTTGTGGCACTTAACTGGCAGGAGCAAAGTGGGTAAATAATGAACTAACTGCAAGGTCAGGGTGGCAGCCTCAGTTCCTGATCTGCAGAAAGCTATAGAGATGGTTAATGGAACCCTAAGCACCAGATAGATGGCCAACCAGTAAAGGCATTGCCCAATCTTATAATCAGAAATAAAATTTAAAAAAAATGGATGATCAAGAGGCTGAGAGCACCCATCACAATAAAATGTTATGAACTCTTGTTCAGTTTCTGTTCCTGAGCCAGTTCTCAGACCCAGAACTCATTGATTGACAGAAAGAGGAAGGACCCTGCACACCACAGCAAGTGCATGTTAATTATTTTCCCACTGCTCTAAAGAGACTTGGGTAACCATACACTGGGAAATAGAAAATACCCAATATTTTGAGGATTATTAGGCATTGTTTCCAAGTTGACGTTGATAACTAGAGACCAAACATTATGCCCATTTTGTCCCTATTAGAGTGCATATAGGAGTGCCAAGAAGGTTACTATAACATTCCAACTGCGGTGGCAGAGAAGTCCAGGGCAGGGAGCAGGAAGTTGTAGCTAGAGCCAAAAACATGGCAAGGTCCAGTTTGTATTAGAGTGGGAGCATAAGGGGGCTGAATAATAAATTCAGTCTTGGCCCACATCTAGCTCAGCGAGTCCACTGGGTCCACAGGTCCACCTAGAGGTCATTTTCCTCATCACTCAATATATCTGTTAGTGTTTGGGGGAAATTCTGTAGTGGTTCCTTGGCCTATGAGATAAGAACTATTGTAGAAAGGAAGATTAAGTGGAAGCTTAGAAATTGTCCCCATACTGTCAGCCACAATAATAAGTATATAGCAATATGCATCTTGGGGAGGAGAAAAATATTAGTGCCACACTTAAACACCTAAAAGATGCTAGAATGGTGGTCTCCATCACATCCCCATTTAATTGGCCAGTCTGTTCCCTAGAGTTGGATCCTGGAGGATGACAGTGGACTGCCCCAAATTTTACTAAGTTGTAACTCCACTTGTAGTTGCTGTGCCTGATATGGTATCTTTGAGCAGATCAACAACGTAGACTCAGGCAGTAGCTAATGGCTTGGTTGTTAACCAAAGACCTAGAAGAAGAAAGATTAGAAGATCAGGAACAAGAAAGTTTAGGGAAGAGGCATGTGGGTAGATCTATATGAATCAACATGAAAATATGAAGGTTTTTGAATCAATTGGATGTTACTCATCAGCAAAGACACCACCAAGTAGAATGACTCAGCAAAGTGTTAATGTGGCTGTTATTGGCCACTGCAGTGTTTGGCACAATGGGAATTTGAATGAAGTAGCTAGGAATGGAGGATACCCATGGTCCAACAGCATGGGCCTTCTACTCATCAAGGCTGATTTAGCTACTGCTTGTGTCAAATACAGGGTGGGGCAAAAGTAGGTTTACAGTTGTTTGTATGGGTAAATTATCTTAATGAACTAACTGCAATGTCAGGGTGGCAGCCTCAGTTCTACAATTAATAAATAATAATACAAGAATAAACTGTTTTGTGTACTTACAACTGTAAACCTACTTTTGCTCCACCTTGTATTTTATCTACCAATAACA